AGAGAGAGAGAAAGAGAGAGAGAGAGAGAGAGAGAGATTTTAAAATAATAAATACTATACAAGCCTAAATGGCAAATTTATGAAAATCTTTGAATTGAGTTACACGTTTGGTGGTCGTCCTCACCTCGAAAGTGGCGAACTCTAGAGCCACTTGATATCCCTCTCTCACAGTGATGACCCACTCGCAGACTTTATCACTGCCATACTCATCCGGATAAGCGGGACTGTTGAGGAAGCCTTCAGGTCCAGGCATGTTACCACCGCATATAGCTGTGGGGTGAGGAGAGGAATGGAAAGAGGGAGGGGGGAGGGGTTACTTCGTTTGTTTGGTTATTTCCAAAGTAATGATCGAAGGATTAACATTGCTTTAAATCTTTGTTTTTCAGTTTTATTCTCTTTTACATAAACAGGACCATAGATAAGCCCATAAGGAGCTTACGCCATCAACAATTAATTCTTCCCTGTAACTCGTTTAGTCTTGTTCATCTTTCTTCATTTGTGTCGAAGTTTTGACCTGTTTCTTGGCCATTTACCTAAATCTTCTTACTTCACCGCGTTGTTCACGGCCGTGCACCCTCTCTCAAACTTTGGGGACTGCATCGCCACACCTTTTTGATTTTATAAAATGTACAAAGACGGGTTTTTTTAAGTAGGTGCTTTACGGCACAATATAAACACTTTTGGTCATAATTAGATGGAGGGGGGGGGGGGTTACATGACAAATAGATGATGGACAGACAACATCACTGAGTGAACATGGGCGTCGTTAGCGGAGACCCAACACCTAGCCAAGGAGATTAAAAGTGTGGCTCGTGGCGCCGCGAAGAGAGAGGAGGCTCCATTTGTTTTAAGCTCCTTGCACCTAGCTCACAACTGGACAAAGTAGAACCGTCTGTACGGGTACACTGACCACTGATGCTGCTTTTTCTATCAAGGGTCAAAGGACAAAGGTGCACTGTTACCAGAGGACAAACCCTAACAAACATATTGTAGCATTACAATAAGATGCATCACCAGAAAAACATCACCACAAGACACATCATCATCACCATACAAAACACCATCGCCACAAGACACACCAACACCACAAAAACATCACGACAAAATATGTCAAAACCACTCTAAATCACCACAAAAGTATCATCACATCACACAGTAACACCACACACACATCCCCACAAGACACAGTAACACCACAGACACATCCCCACAAGACACAGTAACACCACAGACACGTCCCCACAAGACACAGTAACACCACAAACACATCCCCACCACAGACACATCCCCACCACAGACACGTCCCCACAAGACACAGTAACACCACACACACATCCCCACCACAGACACATCCCCACCAGACACGTCCCCACAAGACACAGTAACACCACACACACATCCCCACCACAGACATGTCCCCACAAGACACAGTAAAACCACAAACACATCCCCACCACAGACACGTCCCCACAAGACACATCCCCACCACAGATACGTCCCCACAAGACATACCCTCAAAAGCGGCCTGGAAAGCTCCCGGGCGCGCCGCCCTTGACTTGTACTCCACCCAGAGGCGAGTGCCGGAGGAGATCATGGGCGGGGGGATCTTCTTCCCACAGAATTTGCCTGGAGAAAAACACGACAATCTTCTAGATCTCCACGTTTTATTCACAACTTATAGATTCGGATCATAAGGTAAGAGTTAGGGTAAGAGTGAAGGTAGGGTAGGGTTAGGGTAATCCCTACCCAAACCCAACCCCTGACACTACCCCTACCCCTACCCCTACCCTTACTCCAAACCCAACCCAACCTCAACCCTACCCCTGCGCTAACTCCTATCTTATGTAAATAAGTATTACCTAAATCCAGCATATTAATATGAATAAAAACGTGAACAGTTGGAAAACTGCTGAAAATACAAGACAGCTTGAGTGGACCCAAGTCAGTTGTAGCTTTTGCGAGAGTTAAACGCCGTAATAGACACGTTTCGAAGGTGAAGCATACAGCATGGGGCTCCGATGGTCTATTTTTTGCTAGACTTAAAATCTTGGTGATAACACCCAGAGCAGGATGGGATAACAATGTGACAATAAAGGGGGCACTAGAAAGTGTCACTAGAATGATAATATGCGTCATGGATTGAAGGCTTTCAAGGAGCGTAGAAAAAAGAAGAATCGTTTTAAAAATCAGGCATATAAAAGGGGGAAAAAAGAAACATACACACCGTCGTACACGGAAGATGTGAGTTTGATTTCCGAGTGGAGAGAAATATTAATCGAGTATCCCCTTTGGTCTGCTGACTGCTGAGACGTTGTTTCCCTTTCAGTGCGGGTTAGCCCTGACGGATAGGGTCGAAGCAGCCCACCTTCTATGATTTAGACCAAAATTATGTCGATGGGGTCGTAAAAACATCTTAAATTACAATCATTACAACAACATGATTCTTTAGTAGGGGCGTGCGAGAACTCGAATACTCGAACACTCACTCAAGTATTTCATAGTAACTCGTACTCTGACTCGAGTCCAAAATACTGGACTCGCACACCCCTAGTCTGCAGACTCTGTAGACGACTAACCCAAACTGAGAGAGCCGACAAAATGTCCATCCCTGACCTCCACGTAGTCTGTGTCACAGTTACTGAGGTCAAGTCGGGTCAGGCTCAGCTGGATCCGCTCCCCGTGAGAGGCTATGATCCTCCATTGGCACGTCTTTTCGCCTCGTATCCCTGAGTCGGGGCTAATCGTGCCCTTTGATTCCATCACGGTGCGGCCACAAGCTGTGCAAAGAAAGTGGAAAGTCAAAAAGAAAACAATCGATTTTTAGAAATTGATGTTATCATTAGCCCAACCTAAACATTGTGACCAAAGACTGTACGGAAAAGATGGAAAGTCATAAAGGAAACAAGCAGTCTTTTAGAAATCGATATGTTATATCGCTATCCTAATCTAAACTATGTGGCCAAAGGTTTAACAGAAAATGTGGAAAGTCCTAAAGGAAACAAGTTTAATAAATTATAGGTAGCCCATGTTATCACAGACCAACCGAAAATGATTTGGTCACTAAAGAAGGATGTAAATTGTTGGCCAAATCACTGGAAATTTTGCTTCAGCTTCGTTTGGGGTGTTCCAAAAGTGGTACGATAGTAGTATAAAGGAGTAAGCATCCCTTTCTATGACCTTTATCATTCGAAGTTCGTCTCCGAGAAGGCCGAGACACGTAAGTGTAGAGCCATAGAAACGTTCTAAAACAACCCATGATAATATAACATGATGATTAAGATTTTTTAAAATGAAACATTGTCGTTAAAAAGAAAAAGATCATCACGACTTCTTCCACTTTTTGTTGAACCTTTACCATCATCATCATCATCATCATCATCATCATCATCATCATCATCATCATCATCA